GCGAGTGTATGTGTGTGTGTGTGTGTGTGTGGCCACCGTTATCCTTGTGTAAACTGCTATAGTAACGCGCGCACGCTTCGTGTCCTTTTTTGCTGTTGTTTGCCCCTTCGCATTGTCTATAGTCGCTAGCGTTGTTGTTGTTGTGATCCGTACTGGCTGCAGTCAATTTGTGCGCTACATTGCGGTACGCAGTCAATGGCGTAGTGAGCTTCGCCACGTTCCTTTGCTTCATTTCCTTCGACGTTTTGGGTCGAAATTGAAAATCTCTTGTGCGAAATTGACTTGAGTAGTTTGTGCGGCAGGCGCTCACTCTGGCACCGCTCGTTTGTTGCTATTGTTGTGCTGCACACTTTCTTCTGCTGTTGTTTGTTGTGGTTGTTGTACGTTTGCGGTTCATAGCCAGTTTTTGCAGTTTCGGCTTGTGGCTTTTCCATGCCTCAATCACACAAATTGCATGTGAATTGTGTTTTTCCGTCTCCTTCTTCTTCTTTGCACATATTCTTTAGCATGCAACATGGGGCAAGTTGTTGTTCTTATTTGTTCTAAATCTACGTCTGCTGTGGCTACTGTGGTTGCAATTGCTGTTGCTGCCATTATTGTTGGTGCTAGCTAATTATTACTTTCCCGAAACTGCTTGTTGATTTTCGCCCAGTTGCTAGTTTTCTCTAGAGCTTCAATCAACAGTTTTGTGTGTTTCTGTCAAAATCAGAGAGAATAAATCAAAATTTCGAATCTTCGGAGCTATTCAGTGTGAGTAAGCGTCAAAATTGTAGCAGGAGTTACACCTAAAACATATAGATGGGAAAAAGAAATGAAGTTCTTTTTAGTACACATTTTTAATCACAAATAACATAAATTTCAACTGATTATCTGAAGTTCACCTAAACTAATTTTTAAGCAGAGTAATAAGTTTGCAATGAAGTAAAAAATCCACAAAATTTTTGCAAACTTTTTTTTTATTACATTTATAAAAATTGTGTACTAAATTTTGGTGAAAATTTTTAAGCATATTTCGAGAATAAATTTCCAGTAATGGTCTGGAGTTTATATTAATTTTGTTTTGAATGATAAAATATGAATGCATTCAACTAAAAAATCAGTGAGTTTTTTTCATTTTTGAAATATTTTAGTACTAAATTTTCACAACTTCACAAAAACTAAAAATCTCCTAAGATAATTTTTACGCGCTATAATTAATATGCATTGAGCACAAAAATCGAAATAATTTAAAAAACAAAAATAAAATAAAATTATTATAAAAAATGTTGGTACATTTAAAAACAAATGAAGTAAAAATTTTTGCAACAAAATTATTTTTGCTCCAAATTTTTTGTTAAACAATTGCCTAATATTTGCTATCATAAAGCCTAGTATTTGGAGGATGGAGTCATGTGTAGAAGTTTACGCAAGTGAGGAAAGTTTTCTGATCGCCATTCACTTGAGAGTGGCCAGAAACGATTATTTTACATATGACTCAAGCAGCTCACGACTTCCGGTCCTTGACCAAGTATCCTCTGGGTAGCATAGGAACATCCCTTTGAAGGCGAACTAAAGTGAGAAGGCGAAACACGTAAAAAAACTACCCCAATGACAACGCAAAGCCTAGTATTTGCACATATATTTTTAGTACATATTTTTGGTATATTTCGGAAAATTAGTACGAAAAAATATGGCATGCGTTTAAACAACTATGTTTATTAGATTTTTAGTACACACTTTAAGAAACAAATTTTTGTAGAAGCAAGCAGAATTTTTGATAGATATTTTTATTACTTAATTTTAGTCAACACTTCTCGAAAAAAATTATTAGTAATTATTGCCTTTTTATACATATATACAATTTTGCCAAAAAATTTTAGTACACATTTTTAGCACATAATTTTAGTATACTTCCAAAAAAAAAAATATTACTAAAAAATGCCTGTGTTCTAAACAACTGTGTTAATTACATTCTTAGTACGCACTTTAAGAAAATTTAAAAAAAATTGTTATTTTTTTTGTTAGATATTTTTAGTACATTTTTAGTACTTAATTTCAGCACATGCATTAAAAAACAAGTAAACATTGCATTTTTAACAAATATTTTCTATGTAATTTTACAAAAAAAAATTAGTAAAAGAATTGCATGTTTTAAATAATCTTAACTAATATTTCTGATTTTGGAATGTATTTCTTTGAAGCAAGTAAAGCTTAAAATAGGTTTTTCTATTTAGAAAACTTCTTTTCATACAAAAAGCATTTAGTTGAACTTGTGAAACAGTATATTATATAACTTTACATATTGAACGTATAGCATATGAAAATGAGACTATAATTTTTTATTATATGTAAGTAAAGCTAAAACTCACTTACTCTCTTCAGAAAATTTACAAGACATTAACTTTTTTTTATTATATTTACATTTATGCATATTTATACATACATATATATTATAGATTTATATTATATATGAGAAACTATTTTCAATTATTTTTGTTTCATTATTTTGGTAAAATTAATAAATTCGTAGTATGCAATTGCAAATCTAAGTTAAACTATGAGGCCTTAGTTCTTCTTCAAAATATAGATTTTGCATTTTGCAACGAAATATGTGTGCATTTATTTTACTTAGCCTACATTTAGGCGCCTTACGAACTTGTTTGTGTAACTGCCAATCTCAGCTTCATTTACGCACACATTTCCAATGCCACTATTATTACCGTAATTTGCATGCAGAGTTGTAATCAATTTACAAACGGCCCACAACAACTGATTAATCAGCAAATGCATTTTGCACCGTACTGTACGCACGAACCGAAGCTTGTGAAGGTGTAGAAACGCGTGCTAATAATAATGACACAATTTGTTGCGTTGACTGATGGGGTTATAACAGGTGGCTAACTGTAGAGATGAGCAGTGGAGAGTTAGTCGGTTATTTGGAAGTGTGGTAGTTTATTTCAGGATTTTTTATTTTTTATACTAAAATTCGTCGGGATAACTTTTCTACATACGCAATTAATGAATGCGTTAAGCTTAACCAACATATAGTTAATACGCTACAACTTTATTGAAATGTTTGATGCATACTTTTCTGCGTAAACACAAATAAAAATATTGCATTTACTCAAAAGTGATTTTAATTAGTTTCATTCATTAAAATTACCCAAAAATTTATAACGTTTTCATATTGAAATAAATATCACGCGTTTTAATATAATGCGCCTAAAAATAGACTTTACCTTGGCATTGCCATACACAAGCATATACGCTTGTACTGTCTGTAGCTTGCCATTCCACAGGTTTGCCGTTCACATTGCGCTGTTGAGAGCGCATTTTGCGCAGGTACGCCAAAAAGTATGCAAAAAAAATGTTTGTACGATTATATATCACCAGCAATGCTTAACTTTGACCATTAGCAGCTAGCGTGCATAGCGCACACACACATTTGCAGTCTCATTACCACGCCAAAGTAGCGCTGCCGCTAATTAGCACCGCAAAGTATGCTTTAAAATAGAAACTTTAGCTTATAACGCATTTCCATGCATGGCGCGTACTTTAAGCAACTTGCAGACGTGATTTTTCCACTCATACACTAGTGTTGTTGTGTTCATAAAAATTCATAAAAAAGCACAACAACATTATTAGTAGCCGGTGGTTTAATTTCATGGCTAGCATACTTGCAGGCGTTTTTGCGTTATTATGTTGTTTTCACTTTTCTGTTTTGGTTGCATACCGCCGGTTGCTGGTAATTTTATTTCATTAACTCATTGCAATAAAATTGGCGTGCAAAGTGCAGCGCCATTATTGTTCGTAAAAATATGATCTTAATTAGTACGTTCCGTATTTGTATCAGGCAATAATGCTCGAGTTTGAAGAAATGTGCCAGAAAAAGTTTAAAATGCTTGTTGATTATTTTATATACAGAAATGTTATTAGAAAAAATGTTGCAAAAGCAAAATGAAGTTGGAATACGACATGCTCTTGTGGTGTTTCACAAGTTCAACGGTGGCTAAAGAGCACAAATGAACTTGTGAAACGCGTAAAAGTATTGCGTACAAAATATTTAATAAATTGAAGTTCGGCGAAGTTCGTACGTAAATATATTACGTAGAAACATCTAAATTTTTTATATCTAAGCTCCTCTTTAGTGCCACTTGATTACACTAATTACTACTATATGTCCAAATCCACAAACTTTTGGTTTCAATAAATCAATTGCATACAACTTCTGATCAACCATCATAAATATGAGGTTGTATCGCCAATGAAAGCTTGAATTAAAGAGTATTAAGGAGTCCTTATAGCTCTGGAAGTTGAATCTCTTGAAACATCTTAAACTATATTTTCCTTTACTTTAACAAATAAATTTCAAATAAATGTACGTTTGAACACCAACATTATTAGCTGTTTGTAGGTAAATAAGTGTTTCTGGTAAGTATGTGTGACGGAATCGCTTAGGGATGCTTTAATCAAAGTGCATGGTGACATTAGTAAATTTTTTAGAAACAATATATTTAGCTAAACTTGTGGAATACCACTTCGTTTTGCCTTATTTAATCTTATAATTACTGATTTCTGAATTTAATAATAATAAGTTAGGAACTTTAAAGTGGTAAAACAGTGAGGCTTTGCTTACAATGTTTTCTTATAACTGAACTTTTGGCACACAAAAATACTTAAGCAAAAATCTATAGTTTCTTATTTAAATTTTTGTTTTATACTTTAGAGTAAATATGAATCAATATATAATATATATATATATTACTTTAGTATATAATATATATATATATCTTATATATAAATTTTATATATTTTAAAGGCTCTTAAGGAGTTGGCGCATTTCATAAACATTTTTTAAGCTTACAAAATTTATAAAAACATCTACTAATTCGAAAAAAGTTAGCAGTAGTGGAGCTAAATAAATAAGATTTACCTTTTAACTCCATAAATTCCGTCTAATATACTTTGTTGCTTACGCCAATGTAAATTATAACGTAACAACTGTTTTCTTCTCTTTTCAGCGCTGCAGCAACGTCAGTATAATTGAATTCTTCAAAAATGGTGAGTCTGAACTTCTKAGCTTATTATTATTATAATTATTTTAAAAATTGTGGTATTAGTTGGCTTATGCATTGAGATGTACAAACTTGCATCTTACCCCAGAAATTATCATAATTGCTTTTTCTAGCTTGCAGTTCAGTTATAATCATGTAAATCTAATATACTAATGTTCCCGAAAATGAAGCTTACACTTATTTTTCAATTGCCACACAAGTCAAGTCTTCTTGTAATTAAGTGATGAATGTTTTCCTAAAAAGTTTCGCAAGAATGAGAGTACCTAATAATTATTTTGGTGGAAATTTTACTAGTGTTTCATGAGTTCAACTATGCTAATATATGATATGTGATGATGTTCTTTCTAATTGCCTATTCCTGGTTTACTCAGTTCACCTTTCTTTACTTATTTCGATCTTTCTGCAGTTTTTTACTTTTCTACTGTAAAAATTTTAGTGGTGTTTCACAAGTTCAGCTATGCTATATGTTTATCTAAAGCCATGAAATTGCTTCTCATTGCTCACTCCTTTTTTTTTTTTACTTATTTTAATGTGCTTGAAATAATTAATTTTCCTACAAAACTTTACCAAGCAGTTACTTTAGTGAAATTGTGGTTTTTCACAAGTTCATCTGTGCTAACATTCGTACTTAAAGCTTCTAATTGTTCCCTTCTTTTACTTATTTTAAAGCAAATGCTTAAAAAAGAAGAAATTGCATGGCAAAATAAATCATCAAAGCCAGTTTACATGGGAAAAACTTACTGATTTGGGGAGCTTGAAGAGAGAGTATTGAAGAGAAAACATTTTCATTTTCAATTTTAAACTTAAAAACAAAGAAAAATCAGCAGTCCAACGTGTTGTTCGCAAAGTCAGCCGCTTTTCTCTATAATGTCCGCTCGACAGCAGCTTTGACACTAATGTCATTGAAATAGTTCCCATATACACAAAGTTAAATGCTTTGCGCACCAAAAAGTACAAAGTTAAGAATATAAAATTATAACAAAAGGAGAAGTTAGAAAATGAATTCAGTGCCGAGTGGAAACTGCAAAAACTGAAATAACATTACTACAATGCAGTAAAACATGGAAGTTCTTCGTTGCTTCCCAAGTCTGTTGTTCGTGAAATAAAAACCAAAGCGCGCGTATAAAAAAGACTGAAGCCATAAATTATGCTATGCGTTTTGTTGGCAATAAAAAGCCATTAGCAATTTGGCAACCCCCAGCATGTAAGTTACATGCAAAGTACAACCGCCAAGCAGAACATATACATGTATATGTAATAAAATGAAAAATAAAATTTAAAGCGCCTTAAAGCCTAGCAAGCTAATATTAAATTATGTTTGTGTGACAAGCAACACCCAAGCAAGGAAATCCACCATGCTTAAGTCGCCTCCTTGCGCTGTATACACTGAAATATAAATTATTTGCAAACTGTTGCATACTGCGCGGCGCTATGGGTTGCTGTTATTTTATATTTGCGTTGCTTGTGTCTCAAAAGCTTATAGTTTCGCTTAGGCTTGCCTACGGTCGTGTGCTTGTGTGCTTATTTGCCTTATCACTTACTCCCTTAAACAAATGTGATACGTCATTGGGAAGATGAATGATATTCTGTCAAATATTGTCACTAAATAGACGCACACACACACGTTAATGAGGGTGAGAATTTTACTTTCTGCTGACACAGTTTTCTTATTCAATATTATTTAATCATGTTGTTGTTAACTCGTCTAATACTCTTAAGAAGAAGAAATATTTAATCATAAAGTTTTCATAAGGGTTGGCAGATATTTAAAATTTAAAAAAAATCAGTTCAAAAATATTTCAAAATAAAAGATTTGGCAAAATTTAAAATTTTGGGAAGAAATTCAATAAAAACTTCAAATCTTTTGGAGAAGCGAATAAATTTTTTAAATTTTTTTATAAAACCTTAACAAAATTAAAAAAAAAATTGTAAAATTCGAAAAACTGTATCAATTTTTAACATTTTAAAAGTTTAAAATTAAGAAAAAAAAACTTATGAGAATATTTATTTTTATATTTTTCTCGTTGAGCACTCATTACTACTTACTAATTTTCACCTATGAAATTACCTATAGGCTATCACTTTCCAATACTTCCACCTGATGCGCCTCAAAATACACTATAAACGCACAAAAGTAAACAAAAAAAAGTAATTTATTTTAAAGAAGAATCGGTTTAGGCTGTTTTTCCCCATATAACCCCAAAGCGAGAGAGTGATTTAGAGAGAAAGAGCAACAGAGAGTGCAAACGTTGGTTGACACTTACTAGCGCAAAGCTACTGAGAGTCATGGCAAAGAGAGAGAGCGAGAGAGAGAGAAAGGGCATTGTCACGCCAAAACTGAACTTCGAATTTTCGAATTTGAAACAGTAAGCGTCCTTTCATCAACAATTCAAGCAAGCTGACTACACTCACTCATACCTCAACGCTTGTGATGGTCATATTGAACTGCCCACTCACCATTCTACCTGCCACTATTCTACCCTCCTCTTTGAATTACCCATTTCCCATTAAAGTTGCGTTGCCACACCAACCTCTGCATCCACCCGCCAGGCGGCAACTATTTCACACGCTGTTGACAATCTATTGAACCCCAGCTGCCGCCATAGTAACCTCCACCACCTCCACCACCCACACCAACCACCAGCAATGCTCACCTGCTGCAGCAACTTTACAACACACCAATAACTACAATAATAATAAATGCATGCACAACAACAACAGCCTTGAAGCCTACGAACCAACCAATCATGTGACAAGAAGACGACTAAAGCCAACTGGGCCCGGATTCGCTGGGCACGCTACGATCTATTTTGCCCACCGAAGGTCAGTACAGTGCAGCGGGCGGCAAGGGGCTAAGGCGATGTTGAGGCCGACATGTAAATTCTGTAGATAAATAACAACAAGTAGAGCAACAACAATGCGTCAATCGCACTAATAACTAAAACAAATGCAGCTGCAAGCACAATTGCAGCGACGTCGACGTCGACAGCGGCAGCGGCATTGATGAGGACGCCGCTGTCCGCCAACAAAAAAGCAACTGAAATATTGCATTTGGACTGTACTTGGCTGATTGCCCTGGAAACCAAGCATTTACAGCTGCAAGTTGCGCTGCAGCTCAGCTGCTACCTTGTCACGCTCCACCCTGACACCTTGATCGCTGTATCGCTTAGCTGTTGGATTTCCACATGTATTTGTCGCTAATATTTTTTCTCTTATTTTACCTGTAGCTTGGAAATTTTCACAGCAATTTTGGTTTATCTCTTATATGAGCCACACATGCTACAGCTACATACCTCCTGTGGGGCTAGGACCGCTGTGAGATTGCGTTTTCAAATGTATTCTCCTCTTGAGTAAAATAATTAGTATAAAGTTGGCGGGAAACTGTGATTTTCCGAAGCTATCGTTCGGCAAATGCTTATTCACTGCTCTAGTATTACTGAATCCATCGAAGTATGTGTTACCTCGGGATTTTTCAAAGTAATTGTTTACCCTCGAAACAAAGAGAGTTTATTAACATTTTTCACATCGAGACATCTTTTTCAAACTACGTTCCTGCAATCAAATAAACACCACTTGAGTGTCTAAGCTCCCGCGAGCTGTACAAAGATTACACTCCTTCTCGAATGACATTCAGAAAAAATGGCAACAATCAATTAAGTCGCAGGTCTTTCTAAAGATGAAGTCCATTTTCAAAAGATCGTGTCAAAATTTCATTTCGTGATAGATAAACAGGAACAAAATGCTAGTTTTCTTTTGACAGCCGTTGACTTCGTCCATCAGTGTCGGCTTTTTCTGAAGGATGATGCTTAGATAAGAAAAGATAGGAGGCTGGATGTACGAATATTCGAATCCTTGCTCTTCAAAAGTGAAATAATAAGTTCTTCCTCTTACCAAGTGAACACCGATGTGGCAATGACCACTTAGATCCTCTAAAACTAGGAAAGGCAAGCCATTCAGAAAATAAAGAGCTCACTAGACCTCCTGCGATCCACTTTTTGCGAGAGCGCCAGAACTAATGTCAGTCTATAGCTGGCCCAGTTCTCAGGAAGCACAGCTGTCCAGTAGTGGATCATATGAAGAGAGCAGAGCTTCGACTCGGTTCATTTTTTTTTTTTTTTTTTGTTTGTTTTGTTTTGCTATTAACAAACTCTCGTATATTAGGTTTGTCCCTAGTCATATGAAGATTCATCTTTACGAACTACTCAACCACTTCTGCTTCGATTTTATATTATTATATTAAGTTGTCCACACAAGAACACCTAGAAGGAAATGTCGGAGACAAGGATTGAACAGTTTGACGATATGAGTCCATTTAACCTAATCCGTATGTATGTATATACATATGTCAGCTAGTCCCACAGCTTTTGAGTTATCGAGTTGAACGTTTGTACATGTACTTTCGTTAGCAAGAAGCTACATATATGTCGGAACCGTCTTCGTACTTAGGATTGAAAGACATATTATTTCGAACATATATTATATTGAATATATCACAGTTGAAATATTTTATTAGCGAAACCCTATTGTTACGCAATAATAGTTTCCCTATAACACTAATAAATATCACAAATCATCTTTTAAATAGCTTTACCGCCACAAACCAAAGCAGTTTTGGCCCCCACAGCCTGTTACGGCTTTTTGTAAGCTCTTAATATCTTATATGATATATATTACGGTTGAAACAACACTCATTGCTATTATTATTGTTTTGTTAGTATATTATATGCTTGCATGTTCATTTGTGCGACAATTTTAAATTTGCCTTTTATGGCACTTGACACACTTCTGCCCACTTTGTCGTTAATTTCAAGTGTATGCCCCTTTTTTTCTGCTAGTGGTTTATTTTTTTTTTTATTTTATATTTTTTGTTCTACTTTTCTACTACTATTTTTTAGTAGTATTATTTCTCCTACTATTTTTTCTATTACAATTTTGCACTTTGCATGCATTTTCTGCTATTATTTGTTTGCTACTAATTTTTAAATT